AATTAGCGGACGCTGTATTCATCTGATGAAAGCAAAATAGGAAATGTGACCAAAATGAAGACGTGTACTATGCAAGGAATACCAATATACACTTTTATTACTGGTTTAAGTATTAGTCTATATACAGAAAATTTATTTAGAAACCTCTTTTAATGAAGCATCTTACACGCTTGAAATTAGCACGTGCTCTGACAGAGTGTAGTTGAAAATCTCTCAGGATTTAAGCTGCCTCCAAATCAGTCAGCACTATTTTGAAACTGCATTCAGCAGAAGTAGTAAACAGCCCCCTCCCTCCAAACTACACACCACCCCAAGTACTGAGGAGTTACCTTTTGCAACGAGTTACTACTCTTACCTTGCTAATGAATGTTGGTTTTAATTGGGCAGTAGCATAACAGGGGTTAAAATACCTACTGAGTGTTCTCTGTTGGGTGAGAAAAGAGGGGCGGGGGGGAAAAAGGCAATTCTAGTATATGCAATTTGATATACCTCTTTACACGATACAGAAAAGTCAATTGTAGCACTAAAGAATTATATTGCTACTGCTCTTATATGATTTATTACACATCGTACACAGGAAAAAAGTTATCTATAGCTCTGACTCATCTTTATGAAACCTATTTTATGAAATACTGTTCTGCTTATAAATCTATCTGGCAAAAGAACAAGCACAGCCTTACATCTTAGGCTATCCACCCAAGTTTTGAGCAACCATCAAGTCTCAAGATGAAAATCTCTTGGTTGCAACTTTGTTAAAGCTTATTCATTTTTTTTATACTTGCAAAAATACAGCAGATTTAATCAAGATAAAATGATTACATGTTCATACAATTTTGTTTAATGCTATACACTTACCGGTGGAGAAAGAGTTTTGTATCGCACATAAAAAACAGCAGCAATGAGCGCTACATCCCTCAGAATAATCATGGAAGTCAGTGAAACTGAAAAACCAAGCCAACAGGATCTAGTGAAAAATTACGTCCATGACCAAAAAGAAAACAAAGTACGAAGCAAGAAGAAATAACCACTCCCAAATTCTTCTGAACAAGTTTTATGCGTGACTGAAGATTTTTAACATGCCTTCTGAAAGGGTTTAATCTGAAGTCTTAAAACAATCCAGTCTATGAGAAAATTTTTGATATAGCTACTAACTATCACTGCTTTAAAGAAAGTACATTTGAAAATGGCAGTATATGCTAGTTATTTTTGTATATGGCAGCATATGGTTTTTGTGAGGTCTACTGGAGGAGTGTTTTTTCAGTATTTAATAGGAGCAAAGTGCAACTGACAAAGCAAGAGTTCCAAGCCATACACAGTTTGCCCTCACAGAAACACAACAAATATTACTATGCATAAAATCAGCTTCTTTACCATGTATAGTACACACAAGTAATGACATTTTCTCACCTGGGATAAGATTTGCACAAGTTAGGCTTACATAGAGCACACTGATGAGAATTTTATCAGCCAGAGGATCAAGAGCACTTCCCAAAGCTGATTTCTGATTAGCCCAGTTTCGTGCAATAAATCCATCCAACTAGGAAAAACAAAGTTCAATGTTCCTCTGTTTGAAAACTAAGAATAAAAATAGCTTATACATGGTGCTGTTACAGAGATATTTCATGAACGACATCACATAATACAGCTAGTGTAACTAAGGTGAAATATGATACCTGTTAGCTGATATTTCTATCATGCTTTTTCAAATTACATTACAGATTCTGGAAGCCTCTGAACATATTAAATTCTCATTATTAAAAAAAAAATAAAAAGGAAGGAAAAAAAAACCAGGAAGAAGGAAAAAAGGTAACCGATGTTCTAAAATTCACACGATTATTGTCACGATGGGTGCACCGTGTACACCTGCATATGGTAACAGACCACTAGATGCATAAATATTGACTGGACAATGCCCACCTGGGGCTGGTCAGGGAAGCCTTTGCTCCACCAGCACTTAAGTCCCCTTCAGCTACCTGCGAGCTCCCTTCGCAATGTCACAAAGGATGTATATACCATTTCTAGAAAACAATGAATATAAAACCTAATCTGTTTATTCATTTCTATTCTACATTAGAGTATAAATTTCAATGCACGTTAATGGGATCACCGTAACCCACGCTATCCCCAAAGTATTTCCAAACTAGTGTAAACATACCAAATCCGTTACGCCAGCCAAAACAAAGACACCTAGTGCAACACTGAAATTTTCTTCAACAATCAAATAGCCTAAAACTGGCGCCAAACCCATTCTTGCCATTGACAGTATATTTGGGATCGTCCAGGGGTTTTCATACTGTAAAGCAAGAAAGCAAAAACTTCAGGCCAGGAAGGCAAACCCTAACTTGGCACGTAACAGAATTAATCAAGACAAATACCCGCTTTAAGTTGAACTGGCCAGAAAGCCTTCCAAGTTCTTGGAAGCAACCTGCCGTTTGCGCAATACATGCGGACATGGCCTCTAACTACTAAACATTAACTTCGGCTTCAGAAGGAAAGCACGTTGCTACCGAGAGACCCAGAAAACCCTTGTTCGGCTGCAAGTTTGGGCGTGACACCTGTTTCCAGCAGGCAGCGCGCCTTCGGCTGTGCTACGGGGTAACAAGTGCTCCCCCACGCGCTGCACCGCTTCGCCCCCGCCCCTCAGCGGCGGAGCGCGCCCGCCCGCTTCCCGCACCCAGGAAGGCGAGAAAGCGGCCGCCGCG